TAAAATACAATTAGTAAGTAAAATAGTAAGTAAGTAAAATTTATTTATATAGCACATTTCACAGATAAAAATCACAAAGTGCTTTACAATAAGATCAGACATACAAGTTAAAATTAATTAAATTAATTAAAATTGTATAAAAATGTCTTCAGCTGCTTTTTAAAGGAGTCAGTAGAGTCTAGACAGCGTAAAGACAACGGCAGAGAGTTCCACAGCCTCGGTGCCTGAAAAGCCCGATCCCCACGTGTTTTAAATCTAGTACGTGGGACCACCAGTAGCCTCTGACCTGAAGACCTAAGTGCTCGGGATGAAGCATGAGGTTTCAGCAGGTCAGAGATATACTGGGGAGCTTCACCGTGCAGAGCTCTAAAAGTTACAACTAAAATTTTAAAATGAACCCTAAAATTTACAGGCAACCAATGAAGAGAAGCCAAAACTGGAGTAATGTGTGACCTCTTGTTTGTACCAGTTAAAAGTCTTGCCGCTGCATTCTGTACAGACTGAAGGCGATCCAGAGCTGATTTGTTGAGACACGTAAAAAGACCGTTACAATAATCCAAACGAGAAGAGATAAAAGCATGAATAATCATCTCAAGTTCTGCCTTTGACACCAGTAGCCTGAGTTTAGAAATGTTTCTTAGATGATAAAAACAGTTCCGGACAAGTTGTTTAGAGTGTTTCTCAAGAGACATGAACTGTCAAATATAACACACAAGTTTCTGAGACTTGAGAGCGTGTGATCAGGTGCAATAATCAAAGTTTCTGTTTTATCTGCATTTAACTGAAGGAAATTGTCATTTAACCATTGTTTGATTTCTGACAGACAATTATTTAAACAAGACAATTTATACAACTCAGAAGCTTTGAAAGAACAGTACAACTGAATGTCATCAGCATAGAGATGATAAGAAATATTATTGTAACGTCTGATAATGTGGCCTAGAGGGAGGATATACAGCAAAAAGAGAATAGGACCTAAAACAGATCCTTGAGGTACCCCAGAAGACAGAACTGATGTTTCCGACAGCACATGATTTATACAGACAGTAAAGGATCTCTCAGATAGATACGACATAAACCATTTTAAAACAACACCAGTAATCCCAAACAAGTCCTTCAGCCTATTTATCATGATGCTGTGATCAACAGTATCAAAAGCAGAGCTGAGATCCAACATAACCAGAACAGTGTACTCTCCAGAGTCTGCTGCCATCAGAATGTCACTAGACACTTTAAGCAAAGCGGTTTCAGTGGAGTGCAATTTGCGGAAACCAGACTGGAAAATGTCCAGAACATTGTTCTTTTCCAAAAAGTTGTTAAGTTGTTCTGCAACTGTTTTTTCCAAGATCTTTGACACCAATGGTAGTTTTGATATTGGCTTGGAAGAGATGGATCCAAATTTGGTTTCTTTAATATTGGTTCAACAATAGCTTGTTTAAAATAGCTGGGAACTGAGCCAGTAAATAAGTAATAAGTAAGTAATAAGCCAATTACTTACACTAAGGGATGGTATGAGGCAGGTGAGGAAATGCCCGACTGGTTCAGCTTCCTCATCTGTCACATATCTGGATGATGACACTCACTCTGACATGGAAAACTAGAGCATAGGGCAAGGAATAATCATAAATGCACACCTGTGTGATTCATCCATGCTTTTGGTGTGATTATTTGTCTACTCAAATAATCACACCAAAAGCAGTCCGTGCGTATAGAATAATTACACATATATAGTAGGCCCGAAACACAGTTCAGCAACCCGGCTGTGCCTTTTATTGCTTCAACAATGTTTACTTTTTTTTGAAGTGTACTGCAGGATATAACATGTGGCACAACACGCTGGTGTTCTTATTCAACAAAACATGATGGAAGGAAGCGATAAAAGTCGGCTTGTCTGTCAAACAAGTAGAAGCAACATGTTTTATATAAACACACGTGTTGCATTCCTCATGCCAGACATGTGTCAGTTTATGTAACACACTACGATTTTAATTGTTTTTTGTTTGTTTGTTTTTTCAGTTGAGCTGGTTCTGTTTGCCCAAAGCTGTCACACACTCCTGGCCTTTCAAAGTAAAAACAGTAGATGCATTCAAATCTCCTGGGCAGCAGAGTCCTGGTGGTGAGATTTAACTATAATGACCATTGTGGACGATCTGTAGGCTTCCAGCCAAGCCATGACACCACATATCAGACATGTGCTCTACTTGTGGTGTAATGAATAACCTGCAAACGTAGTAGGCTCACCACCTTGCCTAAAGCTGTAGTCACAAACTGATGACCTTTGTTCTTACTGGGGTCCATACAAGCCAACATTACATCATCATATAAAACATCATAAAGCAAATTATATAATGAATTGAAGAAATTGAATAAAGCGCAAGAAAACATTATAAATAAACAACAATGAAACTAATGTTATGGTCATAAGCATAACTATAACATTTATGTGTGCGTGTGTTAATTTAGGATTGTTTATTTATTTTTTTAATTCATCCTTTATTTAATCGGAAAGTCGATTAAAGTCTCTTTTTTAAGTGTGGCCAAGAAGGGACACCTTTACAAAACAGTTAGCAGTTGGAAACATAGAAATACAGTATAAGAGACATAAACATAAACAGAGTTTATACAGTTCTGAAGGATTTGAAAAGGTCTTCTCGACCCTGCAGGTTAGTAATCCAAAACAGTGAAAACCCATGTTTGAGAATAATATTGTAAAATGTATAACCTCCGCTTGAATGTACAGTTTAATTTGAGACAATACTTTTCACTTTTGAGCTCCAGAACAACTGAGTACAAATACTGCTGTTGAAACTGGATTAATATTAACCACAAACTTAGAGCATGTAGGTTTATCCAGCAATAGTTCAAGATACATAACACCAACAGCTGTGCTAAACTGTAACTCTATGAAATTGTGCGTTTTATACATTTAAGGCATTTATTTTTGCTTTATTTTTTTAAAGGTTAAATGTTTTTCATCATATGCATGTGAAAAAATTGTTCTTTTTTGTTTTGTTTTAAAGAAAATCTACCTGCTACATTCAAGGAGTGGAAAAATATATGGTGCTTAAGGTGGTGGGTTTTTAAGAGAATAATAGCAGAGTATTACACTAAGTGATGGTATGAGGCAGGTGAGGAAATGCCTGACTGGTTCAGCTTCCTCATCTGTCACATATCTGGATGATGACACTCACTCTGACATGGAAAACTAGAGCATAGGGCAAGGAATAATCATAAATGCACACCTGCGTGATTCATCCATGCTTTTCTGTGTATGTCACAGAAAAAATATGAATAACATTGTAAACAATCATTACATCAGAATCTATTTCAACTTAAGGGAAGGATATACATTTCAGAGTTTGAATTATTTCTCTTTAACGTTCTACTTTATTATTTATTTATATTGATGAATATATTTTTTGAATAACTCAGATAAATGAGTTGTTCGAATGCTTTCGGTCATTTGACACACAATGATCAGTTGAAAAAGTAAACTATAATAATGTAAATGTAATAAGCATACACTGATTATTCAAATGTGCCAGAAAGTTCCTGATTCTTTAATACACGGACATTTCACAATATTGGAAACAATGCTAACCATTACACAGATTCAGTTATTGGAGCAGCTTAATATTTTATAGTTAATCTTCAAACCTAGAAAATGAACCAAGACCATCTTACACAATAATTCAATAATTACTTAAGCAGTTCAGTTATTTTTATTTTTACATCCATTAACCTTTGCTCTTATATTAGTAACTATGTTCTTTGTTGATTTTATTTGATATTTGTATCTCTGTATTGTATGTATTGTGTGTGTAGTGTGTATATATATATATATATATATATATATATATATATATATTTATAATAACAATTCTGTAACTTAACTTCGGTCGTTGCGTGCTTTTTTTGGAAGTCGAATTTCCCAGAGGAACCCACCCGAGGGATTAATAAAGTTCTATCTTATCTTATCTTATCTTATCTTATCTTATCTTATTTTATTGTTAAATGTATGGCATCAAAAAACCACCACCAACAAAAACAATCTGACCTGTCAGTTCTTTTTAATCACTGACATGTGATCATGATTTAGTTATTTAAAAAGATAATCAGCTGCTCATCAGTAAATAGGGAATTTCCCTTGCTGATAACTGACTGATAGCTCTGACTAGCCTCTCGTTATCTCCACCCACACGCCATCATTACAGTCATGCTGACCTCAGGTGGATATGTTGGAGTACTGCAATTTAGATCTACCTTCCCCCACTCCCCACCCACCATAAAGTTTTGACTGTATTGTCAAATAGACATATCAATATGTTTTCACATATATATGGATTCATATGTATGTACAGACACACAAACATATACAATATAATCTTCTGGGAGGGAACAATTTCACAAAAAGTATAGAGAGCTTCTTCATGCATGGTGTAGACAGCCTGTGCACTTTAGTATCACCATTTTTCCATAAGACAAACAGAGCAGCTATCACAAAAAAAGATAACCTTCTAAGGTCACAAGGAATTTGACTGTTAAAGTCACACGTGGCTTGTTTGTTCATGATTTGAACACAGAGCTTTTTTAGTCGTTTAAAGAGAAATTGTGTCTTTCAAAGAGCAGTTTTTCCATGTAGGGAACGTACTGAATTCCAAAGCAACTTCTTTAAAAGGCAAAGAATTTAAATAATATGTTATTGAGACTTCATAAAAAATAGCCAGGCATCATGGTCGTGGACTGCCAGGCATCCAGAAATGTTTGTGGGATTATTCTTTTCCCTGTGTCCTATAAGTGGCTCAAGAGAAGGGATGTTTTCTCAGGACCTTTACCAGAGGGCTGGGCTTTGGTTGGATAAGAGGGTTGGCTGCTTTGCCTGCAGAATGACAAGAAAGAAAAAAAATGGAAAAGAGGGAGGGCAGAGTCAGTGTTCGGGGAAGGCCTTTTTCAGCCCTTCTTCTCTTTCACTTTATAGGTCCTCCAAACACCCACCCACATACTGACACACACACACAGATAGCAGAACCTACTAGACAAAGTCAGGAAGTGACATCACCTACAGGAAGAGAAGGCAAATATCTTTTTTCTCTTTTAGTGTGTTGTCTGTTTTCCTGAGGGAAGTTGGAGCCCCTTAAGACCGTTAGCAACTAGCAGAGAGAAAATTCAGAGGACCTAGAGGGGGCAGAGTCACTGAAGCAGGCTTTCACAGGGAGTTTAGAATCAAAGGATCCAGACACTCGAATCCTCCCTGAACTTCCCACAACTCTCCACCACATTCCAAATACTCCGCTGCAGGATTTCGGCCAGGTACAGTGCACAGAGATTTTCCATTCTGTAATGTCTAGTTTTGCTTTCCCACTGACAATTTGTTTCTTTTTGTTGCTGCACCACGAAATGAAAGAGTTTCAAGAAATTGCAGTGTCTGATGGAAAACTGGTAGAAAAAGAAGAAAACAAAGCATGCATGCCACATTACATGCTCTAACATGCTTCAGTGTGACTGCTCAGGCAAGTAGGGACAGAAATTGGTCAACAGTCACTTCCTCCTTCATACTGTCGCTTTTTGTATAAATCATAACTGTTTTCGTATCCCAAAGATGTCTGAGCTGAATCTTTAACTGAACCAGTGTCTCTCAGAGTTTAGGAGTGAATGAAGCTCTGTCTAACTCTCGTTTGTTATGGACATATTCAGAGCTATCGACTGACCACGTATTCAAGTTCCCCCAGTGGTGAGTTTTGAACTGAGATCAGGCAAACTATGAAAGCTAGTGGAAAGAGCCAATGGATAAGATCACATGTGTTTTTATTTTTAGCCATTGCCTTTTCCTCAGATTAAGACAGGAGGGACCCCAGTCCTCCAAAAGCTTTACAAACATGTGAGAGGCCTGTGGGTTGTGATTTTTGAGGTTATTTTGTCAATAGAAAGATAACAACACCCATATCAATATCACGTGTTGGGAGTACAGACTGGCATGAAGTGACAGAAACATCTGCTAATTCAAGTCACCAGAGCCTCAGTTACAACCGTGGGAAATTCTGAATACGGCAGTTAACCCTCTCCAGGCAGACGTTGCAGATTTGCAATAGTTAAGAACTAACAACCTGATTACCCCACATACATATTTTATGAGTTTTTTTTAACTCAGAAGTACCACTGCAGGACTTGGTTGTGCATTAGCAACAAAAAACTTAATTTGGGCCTGAGAGGGTTAACAATGGGACTCAGGACTCAATGCGGCTGCAGTATCATGTGTTGCAATCACAGCTGCTTTAATCTAGGTGTCAGATCTCTGGACATTCTTCCCACATCCTTCAAACGGTGAATAGAAATGTACAATTCAATTCGGTTTTGCCACGCTAACACGTTTACAAAACATATTTGAGACTATAAAATGTAACCGTCCATCTTCTTGTTTTAAAATAAATCCTCCAAGTTAATATTTGTGTCCTTGGGCAAGACACTTCACCCGTTGCCTACTGGTGGTGGTCAGAGGGCCCGGTGGCGCCAGTGTCCGGCAGCCTCGCCTCTGTCAGTGCGCCCCAGGGTGGCTGGCTACAATGTAGCTGCCATCACCAGTGTGTGAATGTGTGTGTGAATGGGTGGATGACTGGATGTGTAAAGCGCTTTGGGGTCCTTAGGGACTAGTAGAGCGCTATACAAATACAGGCCATTTACCATATTATATCAAATAAATTGTGCAATCATTACTGCTTCATTAACATGACATTCAAAACCTGTGAGGTCATGCTCCCAATACAAGCAAATCACCAGACAGATGGACAATAGTTTTGCACAAAAAATATCCATAAACTCTTAATTTAATTTCATATCCACTTTCTCAAGGAAGAATGGGCAGTTTTCTATCCATATTTAGTGTGTGTGTGTGTGTGTGTGTGTGTGTGTGTGTGTGTGTGTGTGTGTGTGTGTGTGTGTGTGTGTCCCACACAAAATTAAAGTTGTAGTTCTGCCTTTAAGAGCATTAAAACTATTTGACTCAGGACATTTTCTCTCACAGTCCTCTTGAGGACAGTTTAATCTTTAGTGGATCACAGCATACTATTCATTTTCCCAGTTATGCCTGACTCAATTGGCCTGACTTTTGGTACAGCAGACTGAAAGTGTTGCTATTTTTACTGGTAGCTGCAACTGAAAACTTTGCTTTAAGGTCATTTGGGTCACAAAGAGCAGCTGTGACTGTTAAAAAAACCCTTTTAGCTGGTCTTCTTTAGGAAAATGTAGGTTTTTGTTTTGTTTTTTTTACTTTATGGTAGCTATAACAATTGTTGTAATTAAATATTGCATGAATTGTTTTATCTTTTATGTTTTATTCACCCCAAAACATGCCTGTTATTGTCTTCACAGTGTCATTGTGCCAAATGAAAACAAGAGCTCCTTGCAGTCTTTACACGACAGACGCTAACCACCTGTGACCTCCACCTGTGACCATTCCAAGAGCCGAAATCAGACTGGTTCCCCTCTCCCAGGAAGGCTACACGTTCTCATACTCCAACCTAATTATTTTTCACCGTTGCGCACTCTCCCCTTATCTCAGGGGAAATAACTGAGTCAATGGCATTGTGTCTTGGTCAAGTGTTTAGCAAAGACAAAACATTTAGGCCAAAGAAGCGCTTTGAGCCCGGTACGCAGCGGTTTGAACTGTACAAGAAGGCCCAGGCTTCGCTCAAATCTGGCTTGGACCTGAGGAAAGTAGTTCAGCTCCCAGAAGGCGAGAACCTCAATGACTGGATTGCTGTTCACGTGGTGGATTTCTTTAACAGAATTAACCTAATCTATGGCACAGTGAGCGAGTACTGCAGCGAGCGCACGTGCCCTATCATGTCTGGGGGACTGAGATATGAGTACAGATGGCAGGACGGTAAAGACTACAAGAGACCCACCAAGCTGCCTGCTCTCAAGTACATGAATCTGCTGATGGACTGGATAGAGTCACTGATCAATAATGAGGAAATCTTCCCCACAAGAGTAGGTGTGTGTGAGGAGTTTGCAAATGAAACCATCGGACTGCTCTTGAGTGTGTAAGCTAATACATGACTGAGTGCTGGCTGCAGAGATGTTATACTAAAGTGTCAGCACAGAGTGCAGAGGTTGTCTCCTTCATTAAGCTCACGAATGCAATGATTGAGTTCAAGGAGAGGTTAATTAGACAATAAAATGTTGACATTTAGAGGGGGTTGTTGACAAGGTGATCATAGTGTTAAATTAGAGGTGAGAACTTCATGCGTCACAGCAGCGTGAGCTCAGAGCCTCTCTGTGGCGCAGTGGTTAGCACTGACATTCTGGGACTTCTCTTTTCTTATGTCAAGCCTAGACATGCTAGTCAGGTACGATGAAAACATTTCCCACGAGTGTGAATGGGTTTTGGTTGTGTGTTAGTGCTTGACAACTCCTTCAGGGTGTTTCTGTCCCTCCGTTTGCTCAGTTATCACAATCCTCCATGGACCTGAGGGAGAATAAGACAGCAATGCTGTCTTCGCTTTGCTTAGAAATTAAATACGAATAATTAGATTGTTCTTCACAGGGCCTTTTCAGCTCTTCAGCACAAAACACAGATATTTTTTATTAAGTGTTTTGGGATTGAAACACAAACTATTCAATAGATTATTTAGGAAATTCGGTGGATTAATAGCCCTCCTGTAGATAAGCATGATTAATGATGCTTTTTAAATCTGCATACATGGTAAATCCATTTACAATTGAGTCCTACAGTTTCCTTTATCAAATCTATTATTTTATTAAACCAGCTTCTGAATAGAAGTCCTTTTATATCTTATTGTTTTCCTTCTTCATCCTAGGAGTACCTTTCCCCAAGAACTTCCAGCAGGTGTGCAAGAAGATCCTGAGCCGTCTCTTCCGGGTGTTTGTGCACGTTTACATCCATCACTTTGACAGCATCTGCAGTATGGGTGCAGAGGCCCACATCAATACCTGCTACAAACACTATTATTATTTCATCTCAGAGTTCAACCTCATTGATCACTCTGAGCTGGAGCCTCTGGTGAGACATCAGATGTATGAGTGTGAAGTGAGGATGCATATGAAAAAGGATCAGATGGAGGTTTTGTAACGGAGGAACTGTCAGTCTAGCAGAGAATATCTACCATCTTGCCAGCTTTATCCCAGCTGCGTGAATGTTTGATGTGCTTATTGTTCATCTTTGAGTAGGTGTGTTTTCCAGTTTAGCGTACATACAGTGGCTTGCAAAAGTATTCGGCCCCCTTGAAATTTTCTACATTTTGTCACATTACAGCCACAAACATGAATCAGTTTTATTGGACTTCCAGGTGAAAGACCAACACAAAGTGGTGTACACGTGAGAAGTGGAATGAAAATCATACATGATTCCAAACCTTTTTTACAAATAAATAACTGCAAAGTGGGGTGTGTGTAATTATTCAGCCCCCTGAGTCAATACTTTGTAGAACCACCTTTTTCTGCAATTCCAGCTGCCAGTCTTTTAGGGTCTGTCTCTATTAGCTTTGCACATCTACAGACTGAAATCCTTGCCCATTCTTCTTTGCAAAACAGCTCCAGCTCAGTCAGATTAGATGGACAGCGTTTGTGAACAGCAGTTTTCAGATCTTGCC